GAGGCAGGCGACGAGACACCCGACGTGGACCCCGAGCTGCTGAGGTGCCCAGCGGGGGTGGGGAGGGGTCGGGTGCCTCCGTCCGGGGAGGTCGAGGGAGAGGAACTGGGACGCCTGCTTCTCCCGTGGAGTGCGAACCTCTAAGTCTTGGGGCCCTAAGAGGGAGTGAGGTCCTGGATCCAGGGAGTCGGGGCAAGGATGCCTGGCTGAGTACTCAGTGGGGGAAGTGGACCCCAGGTCCTGGAAAGGGGAGAGGGAGGCAGGGAAGCCACCGTTTCTGGGATGAAAGACGGGGACGGCTGTCTCCTGAAAGCAGTGGACTGAGGACGCCTCCTTGGGGAGGGAACCTGTCCCCAGGCAGTACGTGGTTGTGGATCCTGCGTTCTGGGCCTCGGGGGTGGGGCCAGGGAATGCCCCACCGCGGACGTAGCCTCACTGCATTGCGCTCGGCCCTGCAGGTACTTGCTGGGACGGATTCTTGCCGGAAGCGCGGACTCCGAGGGGGTGGCAGCCCCGCGCCGCCTCCGCCGTGCCGCCGACCAGGATGTGGGCTCCGACGTGCCCCCTGAGGGCGTGCTGGGGGCACTGCTGCGCGTGAAACGCCTAGAGACCCCGGCGCCCCAGGTGCCTGCACGCCGCCTCTTGCCACCCTGAGCACAGCCCGGATCCCTTGCACCCTGGGACCCAGGAGTGCCCCCGCCATCCCGCCACCAGGACTGCTCCCCGCCAGCACGTCCAGAGCAACTTACCCCAACCGGCCCTCCCACCCGAGGATCCCTACCCCCGGCCCCACAATAAACATGATCTGAAGCAGCTCTGTGCTTGTCTGTGTGAGTGGCAGTTTCTAGGGGCTGGTGGTGCCCACGGTGGTGGTTGCCCTTAGACCAGGGGAGAGGAGCCCCTACCCTGGGTCCTGCACTTTAGAGCAATCACCTGCTCAGTCTATGTCTCTCCTTGAGGTGGAGGGGAAGGCATCAACATGGACAATGGCAGTGCCCACGCGGATCTTGTGTCCCCCTTTTAGGCCTCACTTGGGTATGGGGATCCAGGCTTTCAGGCCACTTTCAGGGCCTGCACCATCATCTTCCAAGGGACCATCCTCCTGAGGGCCAAGGGGTGGCTTTGTGGGGCACGGGAGTAGAGCTTGAGGTGTGGGCTGGGATGTCACAGGCACACATGAACACCTCCTGATGTGGGGGAGAGAACGCGAGAGGACTTCGCGCTGGGGAACGGGAGGTCCCAATACAGGCACACTCTTTGGCAGACAGGCACATTCTGGCAGGGAACTCTGAGAAGGCTGAGAAATTGGAGCCTGGATATCCAGGTCACCAAGAAAGTGTATTTGCCAAATTAGCATAGGGTGTATTTCCTTTGCTTTGTAAAGCTTGATTTGCAATGTCTGTTTACCTATTTAGTTATGTAGTGTAGAGGCCTACCTGTACTCTTGCTCCAGGCCCTGGAGATACTGAGGGTTGCTGTGGTAGCAGCTGATTTGTAGCCATGGCCTTTGCACTGGCTAGTCCCTCTGCCTTTGGATATCTTCAAGTTTTTGTCCAGATGTTACCTACTCTCTAGAAGGCTTTCCTGGACCTGTCACCCTATTCCTTCACCTGCCTTTAACACGTAGCCTTTATCACTGTCTAGCCTGATGCCATATCTATCAGGGCAGGGATTTTTAAGTGTCTTGTTTGTCTCTACCTCTCTTGTATCTAAAGCGGAGCCTGGCACACCGTGGGCTCCCCCTGAATTTCTTGAATGAAAGAATTCTCACAACTCAAGTAACATTCTACCCAGTCTCACTCTCACCCACACAACACTCAGCACGGAGGCAACTTTGAAACCAAAAACACCATTTATTTAATTTTGCACAAAATCTCTCGACATAACAAAAGCAACATTAGGCACTCCCATGTTACCAAAAAGCCCCTCACCAAGTGAAAACAAGAGAGGTGTCCATCTTTCCCTAGTATACTGAATGTGTCCCTCAAAGCTAATTGTTTCAGGGGTCTCATGTCAAATAAACAATCACCCTGGCCTGGGGGTAGGTCTACATTTCTTGGCCAAGACCTTCAGGCCACAGAGCAGCCACAGTGGCAGGTGGCCTTCTGGTGCCGGGCCTTCTCCCTACAGGACCTTGCCATGGGCTCCTTGGCCATGGCCTCCTGGACCCTCTGGATCTCATGGACCAGCAGAGAAAAGGCCTCCTCCACGCCTTGCCGTGTTTTGGCTGAGGTCTCCACGAAGTGGGCCCCCCAGCTGTGTGCAAGGGCTGCAGCAGCGGCATGAGCATCTCCAGCGGTGGTCACAAGGTCACACTTGTTGCCCACGAGGACAAGGGGCTGGGCGGGGTGAGGGCCCCAGGTGGCCCATATCTGTTGCAGCTGGATCAGAGACGAGGGGTCATCGAGAGCGAAGACGCCCAGCACACCATCACAGACAGCCAGGCACTGGTCACGCAGGGCCCTATGGATGGCCTGCCCTGCTGTGTCCAACACATTCAGAATGCAGTCCCCACTGTCCAGGGTCAACTCCTTCCAGTAGGAATCCTGGATGGTGGGGTCGTGGTCCTCCACGAAGCACTGGTGGTTCAGCTGGATGGTCAGCGCACTCTTGCCCACGCCACTCGCGCCCACCACCACAGCCTTGTACTCAGGCAGCTGCCTGCCAACATCCCTGCAGCGTGCCTGTGCCCTGTGGGTTTCCCCCTGGAAGGAAGGGCTCCATGTGGCCAGGCCCAGGTCGAAGGTGCCAGGCTTTGTTGGCAGCTCCATGACCCCAGCAGGCAGCTCAGGGAAGAGACGTGGGCAGCGGGCTCTGCAAGTGGGAAGAGAAGAAGCAAGACAACAGGCAATACGTTAGGGGAGACCATGTGAGGGCAAGGAGACAGTAGGGTGTCATTATTTTAACATTTACCGAGTGCCTATTGTGTGCTGATCACCTTCCAGTTTGCGTGCTATATATATATGATTTATGTTGTTTTCTCCCTGCCCCACGTCCCCCCCATCTCTCCTTCCCTCCTCACACGAACCAACAACTGTGAAGTCTGGATTTCCCAAACAGCTTTATTGAGATGTAATTTACATCCCATCAAGTTCAGCCAGCTAGTGTCCAATTTAACGGGTTTTAGCATATTCATGAAGTTGCGCAACTATCACCATAACTAAATTTTAGAACATTTTCCTCACCCCGAAGAGAATGCCTATGCCCATTAGCAGTTCCTCCCCATGATGGAGGGAGTGCAGGATTTTGCCGGTTTGGGTCACCATTGAACCCCAGCCCAGCACGGTGCCTGCCAGACAGTAGGGACTCAACATTCCCACCCCCAGAAGGTTTATGTTCTAAAAGGCAGAGGCAGATAAGACAATAAACCAAATAAATATGTCAATTACGTGGTCTGTTAGCCATTATCATTAGAATGTTGTCTTTATTAATTATTCAACATACATTTATTGGGAACCTACTGTGTGGCAAGGACATAGAGGTGGGCAATAAATAGACAACAAACTGTAGCCCTCATGAAGGTTATATTCTGGTCGGGGTGAGAGACAACAAACTAGGTAAAAAAGTGGGCCGGGTGCAATGGCTCACGCCTGTAATCCCAGCACTTTGTGAGGCTGAGGCAGGTGGATCACCTGAGGTCAGGAGTTTGAGACCAGCCTGCCCAACATGGCGAAACCCAGTCTCTACTAAAAATACAAAA